GTGTGTGTGTGTGTGTGTGTGTTAGTTAAACAGAGGAAGTATTATGTGGTTATTAACTTTGGCAGCTGAAGCCAAGTGTCAGTGACAATATGATTTTGTATGCTGTGCTTGTCGGTTTTGACACACACACACGCACACGCACACGCTTGTTTCTCGACCCCGTGGGGACCTTCCATTGACTTCCACTCATGTTTTTTAGACTTTATATCCTAACCCTGACCATATACTCTAAAATTAACCTCACAGAAACTTACCTGACCCTAAAACTAACCTAAACCTTGGTCCTGATGCATCTCAGTAATCCAGGTAAAAAATCAAAAAGAAAAAAAATTGTATAGGTTATATTGTATAGGTGCATATTGCATATATATTGTATAGGTTGTATATGAATTAGAGAAGAACCCATCCAGAAGACCTATACAATTTTTTTTCTTTCTAAACCTTGGTCCTAAACCTAACCCCACACCTGTAACATGCATTTGGACCCATGGGGACCTGACAGTAGTCCCCACGATTCACTTCGGTCCCCACCTTGTAAAAAATACCCCACGTTGTAGGAAAAACCCATACACACACACACAAAATCCTTTTTATTATTGCCCACTGCCAAAAGGCAAGAGATCTTACAAAAGTATCTCATGAACCACCACAGCCAACTGAATTTAAAAGTTAAAAAAATAGCTTTAACATGGTCAAGCTTAAAGATATTGACCAAAAGTTCGGATTGGGCAAAAATCCAATCCTGTGCATTTAATTGTCCACAAAAGTATTTGCTACTTTGCAATTAGTGCCAAAGTTCTTGGAGTGCATCTTTACCTAAAATTGTAGCTAGAAAAGTCAACACTATTTCTTAGTAAAACACCTCACAAACCACTTAATGAATTTTAATGAAGTAATCATCATTAGATAAACATCTATATCTAATTTTAACTTTTATTAGCTGTGGCTTCCACCTTGAGTAAGACTAATCACCAATCACCACAAAAAGAATTACCCACTGCATGCCTAAAAGTCATACCCAACACATATTCCTGACAGTGACATCTTGCAATAATCACAACAGTTTGAGGTTTTACCCAAATGGCTACAATTCATTTCTCAAGTTAGGACGCTCTTAATGCTTGTCATTTTTTAACATTACAAATTACTCATAATAATTACCTGAACCACTCATCTAAAACACCCTCACATGCTGCTTTGTAGTTGTTTGGGCTGGGCGATATGACCTAAAACTGATGTATTGATATTTTAAGGCTCTGTAGGAAGCCTGCCTTAGGCTGTTTATTTTACCAATGAACAAACTGTGTCCACATCAGTGTCTCTAGTATTCAAAGCCTTTAGACACCAATTCAAAAATGAAATGAATGATTAAATTGCTACGCATACATTCCAATAAAATTTATTGTGGCTATATCAGTACAGCCCCTCCCCTCACACGCATACACAAATTTCACAGCATGTAGTCATCTTAATTTAAACAATGCCAGATCACTATTTCTGTGGTCGCTGCTCCACATCCACCTCTCTCATGAACACTGACAGTCACATGCAAGTCTTTTTTTTTTTGGCATCCTCCCCGACCAGTTCCTTAATAAAATGTTAAGGTTTCTTTTATTATTGGACACGTTTGTCTGTTAAGACATACCTGACAGGGTCACGCGTTGACAGTGATGCTAAGCATTAATGGACTTTTACATCTGAAGAATAAAGCCTTTTAAACTTGGAAGTGGGATCTAACTTGGTTTTCTGCGCATTTATTCATGTTTCCAATCTTTGAACACCTTTCTTGCAACACTAAATACAGAGAAAAGAAGAGAAACCATAAAATTATTTAACATTTAAAACCTTTGGGGCTGGAGAAAAAATGTTAATGTTTGAAATATGGCATCCAAAGGTTTAATTTGAGTGATATTTTATTTATCTTTTTCAATTCTGAGCTTCAAGGTTCTTGCATAAAGTCTGTTTTGATGCAAAGTGATTATGGATGCAGCAGGTTTTTCTTCATTGCTTAAACTATAAGACCAGATTTTAAAGGGATCCATGATTAGTTGTAACATTAGACTTTATTTGATAAACATTTATTTTAACTGTAAAACAAAGACTGTAAAATACTGTAGGATGTTTAGTTTTGTAAATTTTTAAAAATATATTTTAACACTGATGGAGCCATTTTATTTACATGCAAAGCATTCTGGGTAAATGATGACGTGGATAGGTCCTCGGTGTGAGCGAGCTATATCC